GTGCGCGCGCGCACGTGCGTGCGTGGGTGTGTACGTGTGTGCATGTGTGGGCGCGTATGTGTTTGTACTTTAGAGCGTGCGTGTGTGTGGTGTGTGAGGTGTGTGTTCGTGCGAGCATGCGTGCGTGTGTGCCTGCGTGCGTGCGTGCGTGTGTTCGTGCGAGCATGCGTGCGCGTGTGCGTGCGTGCGTGCGTGCGTGTGTTCGTGCGAGCATGCGTGCGCGTGTGCGTGCGTGCGTGCGTGCGTGTGTTCGTGCGACCATGCGTGCGTAAACACTGAAATTCATCGGGTTTTTAAAATAAAAAAATAAGCGGCGAGCATCACGATATTGTATAAATCTACTAGTTAGTATCAAATCCCTGAGCCCTTTATAAACAAACAATTACTGTATAACGCCTCATATCGATTTGCTTTTTACGAAATTAGAGTGCCATATCTACAGGTAGGCAGGTGTTGTAATTACAGTAATAATGTTGAAAGACACTCGCTAATCTATATCAGGAAAAATAGCCGCGACGCCCAGTAAACGAAAAACAAAAGAGCAAACAGAATTGAGGAACGGAGCGTAAATGTTTTCATTATAATTAAGAATGAGTAACTTAGTGATTAAACAGGTAGTAGAACTAAACCCCATATGCAGATCGTGCTACTCATCGCATGCGTGCCGACAACGCAACGTACAATGAACCCGTTAATTAACAAATTGCGATTCATAATAATCAATAGTTAAGATAGAGAAAGTTTGTAATTAAAATTAGCTTAACGACGGAAGATTACCTCTACATTTACGCACCGTCGAATGCATGTAGACTTTGTGTTTCTGTCGCTACGCCGGCGGACATCGCGAACAAGTTGAGTTTCACGACTTTAAAGCGAATAAAATTCCAGATATGGCAAGGTAGGAGAGTCATTATAAATTATACAACCACGCCATGTTTTGTGCTGATAACAGCACCATTACGACGTTTACTCGTATAACAATGTTAATATTAATACGACTATATAATTAAGTGAGTGCGCATATGTTTAATTTATGATCCGCCAGAGACAATATTTGTATACTTGTCAATAATACGGTGCAGAAGAGAAACGAAGAAACGCGCACAAATGTTTTGAAACTAAATACATCTTGTTTTAATAAGCCCCCGCATCTGTCTGTCAGGAAATATTACGGAGTGAAAGCATGAATAAGTGTGTAGTGAATATGCAAGGCGGCGATACGCTGTGTCGGCAGGTAAAGTAATGGAATAGTAAGCCATGTATGACCACCAATGTCATTAGCTCTGTCGTATCCGCTTTTATTCCAATAATTCCGATAATCGCGTTAAAAATGCGCCATGCGCAGACTACACCTAGGCAGAGAGCACGATGACAGAATTACCTCGTAATTGCTGGCATGGAATTTAAGGACGTGGAAGTGTTACCGAAACAGACTCGAAGAACCTCCTCCGGTGTGATGCCATCACCGTCAGGTGCACCGCCCTCACCGCTACTATCGCATCGTCGTCGTTTTCACCATCATCATCACCACCACCACCACCACCACCACCACCATCATCATCATCATCATCATCATCATCATCATCATCACCACCACCACCACCACCATCATCATCATCATCATCATCATCATCATCGTCGTTGTTTTCATCATCATCATCATCATCATACATTACGTTGTCGCGTCGACGCCATCATTAATCATCGTAAGACATCGTCGTCTTTTGGTCGTCGTTGTACAATCGTCATCGTACATTGTGCATCGTCGTTCGTCGTCGTTTTCGTCGTCGTCGTCGTCGTCGTCGTCGTCGTCGTCCACACCATACCGTTTTGTGCTAGAATATGCCGATGTTGTGCGCGCGCGTGTGTGTGTGTGTGTGGTGTTGTGTGTGTGTGTGTTCGTTGTTGTTTCGTGTGTGGGTGTGTGTGTGTGTGTGTTGTGTGTGTGGTGTGTCTGTGTGTGTGTGTGTGGCGTGTGTGTGGCATGTTGTGTGTGTGTGTATGTGGTAGTGTGTGTGTGTGTGTATGTGTGTGTGTGTGTGTGCGTGCGTGCGTGTTGTGCGCGTGTGTGTGCGTGTCTGCGCGCGTGTGTGTGTGTGTGTGCACGGTCACGTCGCCGCTACCGGCAAGCAGATTGGCTGGAGATCCTACCAACGGGCTCTGCTGAAACCTACACTCTTCCTTACGAAGCAGTAAATATCTTGACAGGAATCGCAGCGCGCCGCTCTAAAAAGGAGCCGTCAATACGTCCAGCCATCTCGCCCGCCGCAACTAAATAACAATAATAGTGATGAACAATTGACGGAGCGTCAACGAAACCGTTCGTATATCGAGCGAAGACGGCGATAGATAAAAATTAGAAGTGACGCTCTCATCTTCCACAGACGGCAGCTGCGTGTATCACGCAACCTAACGTGTTCTTCGCGCTCGCACCGTCGCTGCCCATACAGCCAGTTATCATCATCGCCACGACAAGCTGTGAAAGAAATCGTTCGGCAACTTTCGATTCATGTTATGGAGAATCACACTGCGCGCTTAATGAAGTCACAATTGACGACACGTGTATACGTGAGCGCGGCGTGCGTGTATATAGTGACGTGTAAACGTCGTTTTTAGGTTTTTATTTTTCTCAACTCGTGAATAACTAGCCGGTACACGTTTCTCATATCACGATGAAGTGGTGGTATAGGTAGTCGTCCATAATTGATGATGGCATTTCACTTGTTCGTATAACGTCGCGCTACGACATATAGATCTTTGTTTGGATATACGTTTTTTGTTATCGGCAAAGGCTCGTATGAAAAATTCATCATGCGCCTCTCTAGCTTGCTGTCCCTCGCGCCTATTGCTTTCCTGTCGCCATTTAAAAATACTCTTAGCGTGAATTTAAGTGACGAGCCCTTCATTTCATTCTGTACTTGCTCCATACCTTGGACATTCTCACTGCTGAAAACTCGTAGATAGCTATGAATACAACGGGAATTCGTGCATATACCTGTTGTCTTACATGTAATAACACCATATAGTCACAAAGGGAAATATCAAGTGGGTTACGTCTGCTACAGTGATATAAACGATAACGGTGATGATAATAATAAAGTCTATACGCTATGTACCTCCTTGTCTGCGTCGTGTACATGTGCTAATAACGAATTATTCTGCAACGTCTGCCCAATTAGTGCCATTTATATAGTTTAACAGCGGTATAATCTCGCGAAATGGAAATGTAATCGCTCTGCAGTTTAGAAAGGGGAATAGATAACAATCGTATTGTTCGTATAGCAAATGAGACTTCTGCATCATTGATTTATTATCATGAGTTAATGTCGTTACGATCCACAAGTAACGCGACACAAGTTCTAGACGTGAAATCGAATTTTTATCGTGTGTAAAATAATAACAATATGCACCTTGGTCGAAAACGGCCGCGCGTAAATATTTAGTCAGCAGATAAAACGCGCTTAACTCAACAACATTAACTCCGTATCCGATTTTAAGTGCATAGACGACTGCGTTCATATAATCGCTGTCCGTTAAGTTGTTAGCTTACACTTGAAACTTTATTTAAATCTTCGACTCGGCTCATAGCGTTCGAAGAAGAAAGACTGTTAACTGCAGGGCAGAGCTTATTGTATCTTTAGCAACTGATATTCACGCGATTATATCATTTACGATGGGCGACAGCAAGGGTGCATTCCTACTTTAGGACTCCCCCCCCCCAACCCACTAACGCCGACCCACCGTGCATACATGATGTGAGGTTAAGAGTAGGTTAGGATTATGGTTAGTTTAGAGTTAGATATGGGTATGGGTTAGCAAAGTTTGATTGATTATTTCTTATTATTAATTATGATTGATTAGGGAAGTTATTATTATCAGGGTTGGGGTCAGTTTTAGGGTTATAGGGTTAAATATAATGTGCGGGTTAGGGTTACGTTAGGAATAAGGTTAGGAGTAGGGTTAGGGTTAGGTAAAGTATAGGGTTAGGCTTGATGTTAGTGTTAGGCAAGAGCTAGAGTTATAGGGGGGGGCAAGGCTAGGGTTAGGCTTATTGACAGAAATATGGATAGGGTTAGGGTGATGATTTAGGGGTGAGGTTAGGGTTAAAGTTAAGGTTATTGTGACGATTTAGGGGTAAGGTTAGGGTTAAAGATATGGTTATGGTGACGATTTAGGGTGATTTAGGGGTGAGGTTAGGGTTAAAGTTAAGGTTATTGTGACGATTTAGGGGTAAGGTTAGGGTTAAAGATATGGTTATGGTGACGATTTAGGGGTGAGGTTAGGGTTAAAGTTAGGGTTATGGTGACGATGTACGACGATGAATATTTTCGCATAGGGGGGGGGGGGGGCATAACGCAGGATCGAGTCGTCTGCAGCTACGACCTTACGATTCCCACGCTTATCTCGTCTTCTCGTTGTTTTGCAGCCGTACCGGGCAGCGGACTACCGTCCGTCCACAGCAATACCTCAATAGCGGCCAGCCTCGACATCTCGCTGCCGAATCACGTGCGATGCGCTGCAATGCCAGCGTGCCGCCTGCCAGAGATGCCAGTGCCACGCGACCAACCTCATCCGCCTCCTCCTCCGCCTCATCCGGCTCCTCCGTCGTTACATCGGGGCACGCCCTCCTTACTGGAGCCGGCCGCGCTGACGGGGTCGTGTATGGCGTCGCCGGCGCCCGCCTCCGTGCCCGGGTCGGCGACACCGGACACGCCGAAGACGACGGACAGTGACTGCAGTCTGAGTGACTCTAGCGAGCACGGCCACGATTCGGAGGAGAAGGCCGAGTCGAAAGCGGGCGGCGGCGGCGGCGGGGGCGATGCTCAGGGTAGCGAGCAGCCGAACAAGAAGCGCAAGCGACGCGTGCTCTTCTCGAAGGCGCAGACGTACGAGCTTGAGCGACGCTTCCGACAGCAGCGCTACCTGTCGGCGCCCGAGCGCGAACACCTGGCGAGCATCATTCGGCTGACGCCGACGCAGGTGAAGATCTGGTTCCAGAATCACCGCTACAAGTGCAAGAAGGCGCGCGCCGAGAAGGGGCTCGAGATGAACCCGCTGCCGTCGCCGCGCCGCGTCGCCGTGCCCGTGCTCGTGCGCGACGGCAAGCCGTGTCTCAACGGCATCACCAAGTCGCAGGCTGCGATACAGTCGGACCTATCCATGTCTTTCCAGGCGCCGCTGACGTCGCAGTGCATGAGCAGCATCGGCGCCATGCATCCGATGAACGGTGTGAACTCGTACGGCGTGAACGCCATGAACAGCATGAACGCCATGAACAGCATGAACAGCATGGACAACATGAACGTCATGCCGAGCTACACGCACCCACTGATGCATCCGCAGCCGCGCTGGTGGTGAGAGCGAGCGAGACGGCCGCGTGTGTGTAGCAGACCGCTACACCCCCTCACACACACACATGCACGCATGCACGCACACACACGCACACATGCACGCATGCACGCATGAACGCACACACACACACGCACACACACGCACACACACGCGCGCACACACACACACACACACGCACACACACACACACACGCGCGCGCCTAAAAATGCTTATATAACGATGTCCGAAAGTTTATTTATTCCGTAATTCTACGAATTTTTAATGATTGACCATTTCGTAAACCTACCATGTATTATATTACGGCCTGCGTAAGTATACGTTGTTGTATTTTACCCGTGAAAGACATAGACCTGATATTAATTTATAAATCGATTATATTTTATTCGTAATCGCTGTGTTTACGAATCGCGAAAAAGGAACAATATCTGAGCAGAAATTATGTTATTGTCCTAAATTTTCTCAATGCTCGCTATTTATTCCGCCATTGATATCGGTGTACAGATTTCTACATCCGGGGAACGTGTGACGTGTGCTACACTATCGCCGCCTAGCGAGGATATAATGTTTTATTTATTGTTAGAAATGCTTCTGTACAGACGCTGTGAACAGTGATTGATAGTAAATTTTAAATCATATCAATAATGAAACGACACGTCTCTCGATGTTTCAATGCGATGGGGAATCAACATGGCGGTCACATTAGCCACGGTCAGATACCCGTAACACAAACAGCGTGCATGGCCACAGAGGATCCGAAGATGTCGTCACTGCTATTACAATGCTTATTACCAGTTTCTAGAATCCATCATCCACCCATCCCTTCAGGATGTGGCGTATATATATATATATATACTGGCGGGATACCCGGCGTTGCACGGGGAAATCAGTGGCGTTACTCAGTTGGTGACCGCTTGGTTTAAAGGAAAATACCCCAAAAAGTCTAACTATCTATCTATCCATGCATCCATCCATGCATGCATGCATCCATCCCATTCCATGCCATCCCTCCCATCCCATCCCATCGCACCGCATCTCATCCCATCCCATATCCCATCCCATCCCATCCCATCCCATCTCATGCCATGCCATGCCATGCCATGCCATGCCATGCCATCCCATCGCACCGCATCCCATCGCACCGCATCCCATCCCATCCCATCTCATGCCATGCCATGCCATCCCATCCCATTCCATGCCATCGCATGCCATCCCATGCCATGCCATCCCATCCCAAACAGAAAAAAATAATAAGAAATCAAAATAAAAGACATTAAAAATAAAAAATAAAAAGTAACAATTAAAAATTAAAAAATTAAAAATAATACAGACTAAAGAGGTAGGTAAAGGGAAAAGGGGGAAAATAAGTTCCCCAGCTGGGACTAGAACCTGGAATCCCGGTGTAGGAGACGGATGTTCTAGCGATTAGGCCACTGCGCTGTTGTTAAGGGTATAACCATGGATTCACACGTACGTGGTGTTAATTTGTACGCACCGCCATCTATTGATGAATAGGATTTTTACGCATTTTTAACTTTGACTTAAAAAAAATTTTGTTTCAGCCAGAACCACCTCCCAGACGTGCTGATTCTGAAAATATCTTTACTTTTCCT